AAAAAAAAACCCCGCCTATGGATGTAGTAGGAAGAAAGAAGAATTTAATAACGAAATTTTTCCTCTGTGAACTCAAATTGGCTTTGAAGTTTTACTTCGCTGAAGGAAAACTTGCTTTACAGAGTATGTTTCTCAAAAGGAGAAGAATGCTAACTGTCATTTAGGATGGATGAGACCATTCTTCATTGTGGGAGGCTGTGTCACACCTTGTGAGATGCTTAGTGTCCTGGCTGCACCCAGGGAGGGGAATAAAGATGCCTTCAGAGTTGCAGCATGGTCGGCAACCAACTGCACCTTGCCATTGTCTCCCTGGGAGAGAAGGAAGGGTCACTCCCAATGGAATGGGAGAACAAAATATAAATTAAGTTCAACTACAGGGAAATCAAGTTACATTCCTTGCTCATGAGTTTGTGGATGAGCTGGGTAAGCATTAACTTCTGACTAGTGAAAAGAATTCAGGCTTGGGAATGGGGCTGCCATGACCAAGTGTGCGACTCCTAAGGGGGCACCAGTCATATTATATACATTGTAGATTTGTAAATTGATTAAACAATTGTCCCATTAATAGAAGTATCTTGTGATAGAGGTACCTGTTCCTAATTTGAACAATGATGTCGTCCAGACCAGAGGCGACCGTGACAGGGAGTATGAGAACCTTGGACTTATGCTTTTATTATGTAAGTCGCTTATCAGTATGCACGATTGCCCCATTTTTCGTAAAGCTATAATGCAAGCCTTTAAGGGGGTTGGTAAGACAGCTAGTTGGCAAGAGAATAACACTAAAAAGAATGAATCAAACCTTTTATAAAAATTGGATTTGTGATACAACTTTACATTTTTAAAAATTTGAAAAAAGAGGTATGGGGTTAGGAGAGACATCCCCAAATGATGTCAGTTCATGAGCATTTAGTGCCTCAGTAATATTTTCACTGTGCCGCCGGGTCTGAAGAAATACTGAATAGTTAGTTCTGTTTATTACATAGTGAGTCCAAAAACTTAAGTAGGCGTGCCCTAAAACCTCAGTAGCCTTTTTAAAAAAATTACATTTATCAAAAGAAAAAAATTTTAGATCATTCTTAAATAATCACACTGACAGGTGTGTCTGGTCTAGCATGGCTCAACTTCTCAAACTTTGGGAACAGATTGAACTCTCTGCCACCAACCTTTCCTGTTCCACGATGATTTTCACAAGGTACTTCCTTGTCATCATGGTAACTTCTAAAAACCTACCTTTCCAAAGCTATGATACCACCTCAAAGGAATGTAGTGCAATATTGAAATATGTGACCCATCTCAAGCTAGTAGTTTCACAATGTCTGATAGATGTTAAGTTTCTGTTTCCCTCAAAATTTTTAAATGTTCCATGTGCCCCCTGTGAGTTTGCTGTGACTTCTACTCCTGCAGCATCTCTGTGCACAATTTAAACAAAGGCATTAGGACAATGAAACCCTAGACACATTGAAATTAACTGCAGTGAAGATGTGTGTAATGGCCTAACACCCATGGTAAGTCTGAAAGTCCAGCACTCACGAGCCTGTATATTTCTTCTTGGGAACTTGAGATAATGTCTTCAGAAGCATTTTGAAAACTCTGAAGTGCTAAAACAATAATAATTGCAGAATTAGCTGGTAAAAGCACTACCTGCTAGAGTGTAAACTCTAAGAGACCAGGGAATTTTGTATCTTTGATGCCTAGAATAGTGCCTGGGATACAGTTGGTTTCTAATAAGTAGTTGATGAATTAATGGATGAAAGAAAAGAAGACACTGATATTTCAAAGTCTTGGTGTTTTTAATAGGGTTGTAGGATTGGCTTGGGTCTCATGTTTTTCTCTGTATTCTCTCAACTCGGTCAGTGACCTTCCCAGTGAAACCTAAGTTGTAGTGTGGTTAGAGATATGTACATAAAAGTGCTTCATACATAGAGGTCCTCAGTAAGTGATTAATTTTTTACAGGGAGGTTAAGTAGGGTAGTGGCCAGAATGTAAGCTTTGGAGTAGGACTAATTTGGATTTGAGTTGACTAGACAATTATCAAATTTCCCTGGGTCTCAGTTTTTCCGCATGTAATACCGAGATAAGCATCTTAGCCTATAGGGTTGTTGTAAGGATTAAATGAGAAAATGTATGTAAAGCACTTAATGCAATGCCTGGGACAGAAAAGTATAGACAGGAATTATTATCCTAATAGGTAATTTTCACTTTACTTGGCTCATCTCATTCCTCTGAAGGTAAGTTCCAGGACTTATGAATAGTACATCATACACACCGGGCACATGCTGCCTCAGGACCGTTGCAGTGGCCTGGAATGCTCTTCTAATAGATGTCCACTTCCTTCCAGTGAGTCTGCTCAAATTTACCTTCTCAATGAGGTCTACAGAGACCTCCCTATGTATAATTGCACACCTTCATTCCCCTTACCTTTTTTTTCTCCTGACACCTACCACCTTTTAACATACTACTTTCTACATAATTTATTTTCGTTATGTTCTCACAAGAATATAAACCCCAGGAGGACTGGGATTTTCATCACTTTGGTTCACCAACACCTCAATGTTTAGATCAGTGCCTGACAGAGTGTAGGCACTCAATAACTATCTGTAAAATTGAATTGAATTGAATTGATTTGAATATATTCCCACTGAATTTTATATTTTTTAGTTTGGGTCCATTATTTAGTTTGTCAGCATGATTTTGAAAAATAATAACCTGCTTTCATCTTGCATCTTTAAGTGTGGCCCATCATCCACATTCCATGCAGCTAGCCCTCCCCAGGGAAATCTCCAGGTACCACGCCCAGTTCAATTACTGGGTGTGTGAACCTTGGTAATTTTCTTAGCCTCTCTGTGTCTTGGTTGCATTACCTATAGACATAGAGATAAAAAACATTGCTACTCTATAAAAATCCAGTGAAGATTCAATTATTTAATGCACATGAAGTACCTACAACAATGCCTGGCACACACTCAATAAATATGAGCTATTGTAATTCTTTTAACAGCCAAGCCCAGGACTCTCTCTCCTTGGGCCTGATCTGCATCTCTCTTCTCCCCTGCACTGGTATTCATCCTCTCCAGACCCACCTCTTCTTTCATCTCCTACCTCTTACCCACCCAATCTGAACTTAGGAGGTCTCTTTAGTTTCAACTCTCCTTTATCCTCTGCTAACTTTTTTTTTCCCTTAAGCATTTGCCATTAGGCCCAAACTGCTTTTTAAAAACTTTAGGAAATTCTCTGACTAACCTGTGCCTAGACTGAAGCTTTCATGTTTTAACAATGTGATTCTAAAATCCCCATGGGAACAAGAGGAAAAAACTTTTCACAAATTGCTTTATTGACCTTAATCCAGGACTATTTTAATACTGTCATTTTTTTACCAATAACTTACCCATTCCATTTAATTTTTTTAAAGGGTGGCCTACTTAACATCTTGGGCTGTATTATTTTAAAGAGAAAATAATTTCAGTTCTTCTAAAACATTTTTATTGAAACTAATTAAGAAGAACCCTCATATGTCTATGCTCTCTGAATTTCATTCTGAGGCCAGAGAGGAAAATATCCTCTTCTCTGGAAGGGCTACGCTACCTTAACTTGGGCTGTGAAGTCGGCCCTACCTCATGCTACCAATCTCAGGAAAGGGGGGCTGCCAGAGAACTTGGCTAAAGGTGGGGAGGTAAAAGGTCCAAAGGATTAAATTTCCGGCTCCCAAAATAACCCCTGAGTACTCCTGCTGCCTCCGTATCAGGCCCTGCAGGCTTCTTCATGCTGGCTGGGTGCCACCTCCCTGGCCCAATCCCAGGAGGCCCTGTGCAGCCATAGATGACCCTCTGTCCCCACAGGACAGCCCTCTAGAGAGGCTGGGGATCCCACTGAATTAAGGATGGACATGCAAGGTGCATTTTCTCTCTTCTTAGACTCATCATTCATCTCTTTATGTTTCTTTTTTTTTTTTCTTTTCTCTCCTCCACCTGTCTCTAGTCTCCTGGAAAGCCTTGAAACAGTGTTTTTCCAAAGCTCAGTAATGTGAGAACTACTGTCACGATATCCTCTCACCTGCCCCCCAACATGTCCAAATCCCAACTGTACTGTTTCCTTAGATTAACTCATTTTTTCACTTAAATTTTTAAAGACTAGCTATTGATGTATAGCACCACTTTAAATGTAAAACCAGTTTCACTTGCCATAAATAGAAGGCTCACATATAAATGCAATTAAAACAAAAATATATAGTAGTGGAATTTTAGTCGGCTATGGCTGCTTGTTGCAGGCCTTGTACTTGAGTCCCTACTCTTTAAGTAACGCTGGAGAAGTGTTAAAGACATACCAGCATCACAGTGAGGCTTGTTTCTTGAAATAGGGACTAGGAAGAAGACAAGAAAAGAGCAACATTCTCATCTGATTTTCAAATTACCATGCCTACCTAAAACTCTAGCACTTCCCACTTTGGGAAACACTGCATTCAGTTTAGGCTCACAAAAGTCCTAAGTTTTGTTGAAATCTGATAGGCCTCATCCCATTTCCCTCAAGTACTGAGTACACTATTTACTAACTTCACTCAGAAACTTTTTGCACATTTTTTTTTGTTATTTGTTCACATAATTTGTTCACAGCTTCTGACCAGCCACCACAGAGTGTTATGGATATAGAACTCTGGTGTGGATGACAAAATGTGGCCAGTGGAATGGGTCTTTGGATGTCATTTAGCCCAAATCTTGATCCATCTCCATCTTCCCGAAGAGACTTGGGATTCGAAGCCCAGGGCGATTTGCCCAAGGTCACATAGAGGGTAGACTAATTTTGTGTTCCTGCAGCCCAGAGAACAGGCTATCTCGTCCTGCAGGAGACTTCACGGTGGTTTGCCTGGCTGGAGCGAGGCCAAACCTTCAGCCTCCACTGTGTTGATCGCGGTTGCCACGGCAGCGGCACATTGTTCCCCGCCTCATCTTGGTGACGTTACGGGACCAGCGCCCAATGGGAAAGCCGCTCTCCGCCAAGCACCGCCTTTCCCAGCCGGCTCGGCCGTCGCGGCCGGGAGGGAAGCGTTGACAGTGCTGCGGAGGCTGGCTGGGGTCGCGGCCGCGGCAAGTGACATCGTTTTCCAATCTGTCCGCGTCCGCAGCCGCCCGACACGGAGCCAGGATGTTCGGGATGCTGAGCAGCAGCTTTGAGGATGACCCCTTCTTCTCGTGAGTGTCGGGGCCCGGGACCCCGCGGCCGCGAGGGAATTCAGGGATCTTGAGCGGAGCTGTTAAGGGAAAAGAGCGAGTTAAAACTCTACAGACGGCGAGACGGAATTCGAGTGACTACCGGAGGCAGCCTGAGGGAGAGGAAGACTTGGGGACGTGAGAGGGAAAGGAGAAGAGGGTTTAGTGGGATGTCAGGGCGAGGAGTGGAGAGAAGGATTCGGGGGCGTGAGGTGGGGGTGGGGGGCAGCGAGCAGGCCCCCCTCCCCAACAAACCCGGGTGTGGGCTGCTCTCAACCTGGCGCGACTTCAGGTACTGCGCACCCCCCGCCCCCACGCTTCCTGCGTTCGGGAGTCCAGTCTTCACAGCTGCAAAGGCGTTGCTTGTGACGATAACTGCCCTCTCGGTGGACCGTCTGGTGAGGATTATGCTCACAGGACCCACGCTTGTTTCAATTTCAAATGAGGGGTAGGGAATACTTAATGGAGGACAAGTCTTCGAAAAGGGAAGCGTTTTAAAAACATTATTGTCCATTATACTTATTTATAAGAATATTAAGTTAGAGTTGTACTGTCTCTCCCCTCGAAGTGGTTGGAAGTTGCCAGGTGCACTGTTTGTTTTCTTTGTTTACTTTGTTACAAAGGTAGCCTTGTTTGGAAAGGGGCTCTTCTTTCTGTCAAAAGTAGGGCAGGGAAGCAGAGAGAGGGTGCATTTAACACCTCAGGTAAACAAGTGCCAACCCTGTGAACGGTTCCAAGTGAAATAATATGATGCCTTAAAACGAAGGCATCCAGAAACTAGTGGCATTATGATCTCGTTTTCTGGGTTTTGTCTTTTTTTCGTTCTTCCTCTAGCGATTATGTAAAAGAGCACAATCTAGTTGGATTCCTAAAACAGGAAGAATTGTGTTACTTTTTTGCCCTTGCGTTTTGCCAGTTTGAATTTTGACTTGCTGTCCTAATTTATTTTGATCACTTCTATTCTTTATGCAACTTGGAGACCATTTTTTAAAAGGTTAAAATATTAAGTTTACTATGTAGATTTTTGTTTGCTTTTGAAGGAAAATATTATATTGGCTTAAATGTGTTAGTACCATATTAAAACAAAATGTAAAAGTAATAATTGAAAGGAAATTAACAGTGCAAAAGATGAAATGATTAATGTAGAAAAATTAAATGATTAACTTTTTATTCTAAAGGTTATTCATTATAATTAAGGGGTATACGGACTCAGGCAAATTTATTATACTGTTTTAGTTAACTTGTTTAGGAGTGGTTGGGACATTTATGATCAGTGTCGTTTTAACAAATTTCAAATTGTATATTATGATTTCCTCTTTAAAACGCTCTGAGAGTAGGGACTAAATATATCCATAGAGTAAATGAGCTGTTGAGGTGGTTCTTATGTAATTGTGACATCAGTACAAAGGGTGACAGTTAAGAAGATTATGACAGAGCTTTTGAGTTGTATTGTCCTTGATTATATCATAAAGAGCAATGGCCTTAACCGTGAATGTATAATCAGTATCTTCTTTAAAACGTCAAGCAGAAGTGTAATTTAAACTCTTGGGTGACTATTTCTGAGCAAAGGCAATGAACCCAAGAGTCTGGGTCAGAAATAGTAACAGACCACAAGTAGTAGGCATACATCAAAGAACACTCTTGCCCTGCGCTTAGGACGGATAGGACCACCAGTTACATGTCAGGTCTTTCAGTCATCACTCTGTGGCCTTCTTCAAATGTAGGCAGCCATATCATAAAAATTTGGGATAAAATTATTATAATTAACTTTATAAAACTAATTTATACTTATAATTTCTTTGCTTCACAATTAATAATATAGAGAATAAACGTAATTAGGGGAGGTAATGGAGAAAGAGAATATGAGTTTAGTAATCTGTCATTTGTCCCACTCCTGTTATCCGAACCCCAAACAAAATGAGTATCCATTACTTAACATAAGGAATTCATAATGATGACAGGTTCCTTATTAAATCATCCACTAACCTTAAGGAACACAGAAAGGTTCCATGCTTATCATCTTTTATATAAATATCCCAATTGCTAACATTTTGGGTCTGGTCCCTAGTGGCTATTTTAATGTCTGACATGTAGGAAGTATTCAATAAGTAATGTTTATCAACAGTCTGATGTCGTTTACTCTGTCTTGTAGTTGATGTGGTATTTAGTTGATTGCTGGATTGCTGAAAGTAATCAGCTTGTCCCCAATTTACAATGGTTCCACTTAAGATTTTTCAACTTTGCAGTGGTGTGAAAACAATACATATTCAGTAGAAACCATACTTTAAATTTTGAATTTGAGTCTTTTCCCAGACTAGTGATATGTGGTAGAATGCTCTCCTATGAAGTGGGCAGAGGCAGCAAGCCAGCTCAGTCAGCCACGCTGTCACTAGGGTGAAAAACCCATCCACTCACAACCATTGTTTTTCACTTTTAGTACAGATATTGCATAAGGTGTTCAGTACTTCATTGCAAAATAGGCTTTGTTTTAGAGAATTTTGACCAACTGTAGGCTAATGTGTTCTGGGCACATTTAAGGTACACTATGCTAAGCTATGATGTTTGGTAGATGAGGTGTATTAAGTGCATTTTCGACTTACAGTTATTTTCAACTTACGATGGAGGTATCAGGACATAACCCCATTGTAAGTTGAGGAAGATCTGTATTTACATTCAAAAGGTGCTATTGTTGATGTTGGCACTTTCTAATTTAAATGCTACCATTTTCTAAATAATTCATAAGCTCAGAATCAGGGTTATCAATAACAAGCACACACTACTAATTTGCTAATTCATCAAAAGTGGCAGACAAAAAATATATACTTCTTGGATATAAAATTTGAATTTTTCAAAAAGTAAAGACTGGGTAAATACAGTGGTCAAGTTGTTAAACACTAAGGATTTTAAAACAAAATCTGTAGCTTTGAATTCAAATATATTTTCATTTTCAATGTTCATCTTCCTGTAACAGCACATGTTAAATATTTTATCAGAAAAGTAAAGGGAAACTTTAAAAGTGATATTGTAAAGTTGGGTGTTTTATTATATATTTGGGACTTTTTGGTGTATCATAATATTTTTCAGAGCTGAAGTTTTATCAGTGAAAATTGCCTCACAGTATACCTTCATATATATCTTTTAAAATAAATAATACTTGCAATTTGGTTAAAAACACAAAGACTAAAAGCTAGCACTTCCTGGCATGCAGCTTTCCCTCAAGAATACTACTTTCTCCTCTGATTTGTATTTGCTTAAGAACAGAAATATGTATGGATGGGTAGGAAAATTAATTTGAGGTTAAAATGGTTTTAGCATCAATCCTATACCCTAAAAAACTGATTATTAAATATAAAAGTTTACGTATATGTAGTACAACCTAGAAATTTCTACGTTGTACAGAAACATGAACTTTGAATCTTCTGAGCTATAGAAATGAAATCCTGGTCATGCAAGTCTACAAAGAATAGCTGTGTTACCACTTATCAGCTGTTATAAAGACTCAGAAACAGGTTGGCAAATCAGCCTTATTTTTCATCATAAATCGTTAACATTCCTTTAAGCCACCCGAACTCTTCATATGGGCGCCATATTGTGATGACCACAATATGGTTGTTAAAGAAACCCTGCATATATTCACAGGATGTTACTTTTTTTAATCTCCTTACTTTCATCATTTGGGGCTAACATTTACCTACCTATCTATAATTCTGTTTTTAATTTTTAAAATTTATTTACTTTGCTCTTTGGAAGTAGTGGGAGGATACTGCTTTGACCAATTCGCTGAGATGAAAGTGAATGTAATGCATTCCACATATAAGATAGGCATTGACTGATATTTTCTTGAGTGAGAATATTGCCATGGCAGGAAATAAAATAAAATCACCTTATTTGATAAGCTAGGCTGTTCATTTGGGGCATCTTTGATTTGTTAGGTACAAACTTGAGTTAGGAGCCAGGGAGTACAACATGATTATGACGTAGTTGCTGGGTCAGGGAATGCCATTTGGTACCATCTGTACTTACAGAATGGGAAGAAGCCATAGTCACTCCTACAACTCTTTTCACATCAAAGCCTTTTGCCATACCACCACTGTAAACTGTGCTTCTAAACAGCGGGAAAATAAAATTGCCTATGGAAATGTAATTCATTCTTCAAGTATTTCTTCGTTTTCTACTATATGCCTAGCCCTGTGGTCTCTTAGAAATTTGTAGAAGTCAAGGCCCATGCCCTAAAGATTCTCTTGTGAATGTTGTATTATTTCTAGTGTCAAAACTTAAATCACCTGATGTATTTTCTTTATGGACCCACATACCTCATTGAAACTAAGGAACATTACTTTATGATCAAGAGAGTCATAACAATCTGCTTATGCCACTACCATGTGTAGTGTAAGGAAGGAGTTTCCCTTGATGGATGGGACTGCTATGTCAATTATCTGAGACCCTGTGCAATAAAGAGTAGCGTAAACCTTTTTTACTTAGAAGCAGAAGTATCTATATTCTTGTACAGGCTAGTAAAATGGTAACTCTGGGAAAACTATATATATAATATGTATTTGTGAGAACTTAAAAACAGGAACTTATTCCTAAGTGAAATATTATCAGCCTCTTAAAAAAAAAGTGAATGTTGATATTATTCCCAGGAGACCCAAAATCAATCTAGGAGTTAAGGCTTTTTGTGGGGGGAGGTATTTCCTAGCTTCTGATAGGTAAATAATATGGAGTGGAAAAAATGTGTTTGGTGCCAAATTTCATTCTGTTTGATTGTGGTTTGTGTCAGCAATCTTGTAAGAGATAGTATGGCTATCATAATAGTATAAGTAAATTTTTCCTCATTTATTCAATGAAAATGCATTCTCATGGGAAATCTGTAAACTATATAAAATTTGGTGAAGGAAATCATGCAACCCAAGATTTTAGATACTATCATTATTTTGGTGTATTTTGTTTCTATTTTCTAGATATGAAATTTTTTTCAAAAT